TTTTTTTCCTTTAAAAATTGTTTACATACGTACTTACATACATATGTAATTAGGTGAAAAAACTAAAATAAGAAATCGTCATTACGGGGGAAAAATCGTCAAAACGTCATTGAGCTAAAACAAACGTCAAAATGATGACGAAGTCGTCAATTCCGCAACGCTGGCGTTGAGCATTACGCCAATAAAAAGTTTCGTTCCTCAACTTTTCTAAATAAAACCTGTAGAACTGTCAGAGAAAGAGAGAAAAATCAAAAAACTAAATTATACGAAAATACACAGGCCAATTAACAAAAATACTTACGAAACTTGCTATTATTTCGCTACGATATATTTAAAAACGCGAAAATGTAGACTCATTTCGTTTTGGCAACATTGAATAGCTAAGGTTTGACACTTTACCAGATTTTACCAGAAACACTCTTCGGGTAAAATCTTGCAACTTCTGACAAAGAGAGGTCGGATTTCACTCTCCCATTTTTCCCTACTTTGCCAGAGAACCGAGTACGGGAACGCTTTCTGGAAAATTCCTGTAAATTCTTGCAACCTCTTGCGAGTTAGGGAACACGACTAAAATGTAACGGAAAGTAAGCGCATTGCTCAACGCTCTTATTTAGTTGTGGCAGTTAAATTTGAAATAATAAAAAAATAACTGAGTTGAGCTTTGTTTGCGGGGAATTTTGCCACTTATTGTTATTACTTTAAACGAGTAATTCTTGTATATATATATATTGGGGTGATCCAAAATAATTAACCAAACGAATTTATGGCTTTAAAATTACCTACATATTAACTGAGAACGAAATTCTCCTAATTGGAAACATTTTTATTTAAATTGCAAAAGGTGTCGGTGGGCATTTGAAAATATCCATTAAAATAACATATTATAATAAAAAAATTTTTTTTCATTAAAAATTTTATAATATTTGAAACGTTGAAAAAAGATATAAAAAAGGGATACAAGTTTTTTCTAGGCATATTTTTGGGGGTCATTAAATTCTCTAAAAAATGACCCTGAAGGTGGTTGTCTTAGAGACGATTAAGAGTAGTATTAATGATATTGCTGAACGAGGTATAGCGTTGATACAAAATTATAAGCGAACTTTGACGAAATACGAAGAATAAAAGCAATTTCTTTTGCAAGTAATACAATTACATCGCTAGCAATATCGTATTTACAACAAACCGAATTTTATTAATAATTAAAAAGAAGATTAGTGTTTAATATTCAATAAAGAATAAATAAATGGATTAAAACCAAGGAATGAAACCGATTCAAAATAACGTTCCGGTTTGGGTTTCGGTTTTGCCAAGTGTTTCGGTTTCGGTTTTGGTTTCGTTCTTCAAAATTCATTTCGGTTTTGATTTCGGTTTCGGTCCGGTTTCGGTTTTTCACAGAAATTTTGTTGATATTATTTAAATCACAATGTCTTAAACGTTGAGGAAAGAAAATCGAAAATTACAGTTCACTGATAATATCAACACTAGGTTCTTTCCCTAACAATCCGGACCGGATTTGGTAATTAGAGAATAAGACAAACATTTTCTTTCAAAAATGGAACAAAGTTCAGAAGTACGGAAACGCAAAAACCCACATTTCGGTCCCACAAGTCGAGAAACAGCTGATTCACGTTGTTCTTGTTTTTGTCACTTATACCATGTTCTGACCGACATCGGAAACATGTTTTCGTTGCTAAAACTGGTTTTCGACCTGAAACTTGTGTTTTCGTCCATATAAAATCTGTTAAACGAAAACCAGTTTTCGCTGAAAGCTACTTGAAAACTCACTTTCCACTCATTCCAATCGGTGTCTTCACTAGTTTTTTTCGATTATTTATCGAAGTGGAAGTCATATTTTATCATCTTTAATACGCCATTTCGGATTTATTGTTAATTGCCTGGCCAAAGCAAAATAAGAATGAAAGTTAAAGGTTGTAAATGAAAAGAAAATGAAGGAAAAATGTTTTGGTTGTCGGTCAGAACATGGTATTAAATGCAAACACTTGGAAATTGAATTTTGGTTTCACAAATTTGATTTTAAGTACATAGATTGAAAATACATCAACAGGCCATTTTCCTTAACTTTTCCTTAAAAGCACCAAGTAAATGCAGGCAACATGTAAACACAATACAGCTGATATGCACTTTGACACTTTATCCATTTTTACTCGGAGAAAAATTCCGGGCTGTTTCGGGCAGGAAGAAGAATACACTTACGATCGAATACGCTCGAATTTTCGCTCTCTATTACCCATTTTGTTGAGTACAGGAATGATTTCTGGGCTATTTTGGGCACACGCGGGATCTCGCATTGCGTACGGGAAAGAAACTACTTAAATATAATTAATCGATTATCGATTCACAACAACAAAGTCATCAGCAGATGTTTGCGAAAAGTTACCTTGCCATATTTATTTACTACTTAACAAGAATTTTAGCAAAATGTTGCTGATTTTGGTTAAATAAATCATTTATTTCAAAGAAATTTTTATTTATTATTTTTGTAAATTTCTGGAAACCGATTGAAACCTGTGATTGAAATGGTTTCGGTATCGTTCCTTTTCAGGTCAAGATAACGGTTACGGTTTCGGTTTCGGTTTTGAAAAACGAAACGGTTTTAAACGGTTACGGTTTCGGTTTGGGTTTCGGTTTCATTCCTTGATTAAAACTCTCTTTTCTCTGAAAAATCTAGTTTATAATCAACATTTTGTACACATTTATTTAGCATGAATATTTCCAATCATAAAGTCCTAAAACTGCATATTTCTGCTTTTTTCGAATTTCATACCAAACGGTTTTATCCCAAACGGTTCAATAGTTAAAATATTTTTATTGAACACAAATTTTTTTACATATTATTTGCATGGAAAATTTCTAATGCCCACCTACACCTCTTAAAATTGGAATACAAATTTTTCCAAATGAGAGAATTTTCTTTTCAGTAAATAGGTCCTATAAAGACCATGAATTCGTTAGGTTAGTTGTTTTGGATCACCCTAATATAAATATCCAAAGGTTTCTCGGAAACGACCCTAACGATTTTGATGCGTTTTTGTATTCAGATAATGTTTTGCATTTTAAGGTTATCTGTATTGGTGTTATCTCCGAAAATATTTGTACAGGGTTACCACATATTTTCAATTAGTAACAAATAAAACAAAACATCATAGTATGAAAGTATTTAATAACCCAATTCAGAAATATTTTTGAATAGGGTTGCCCCCTATTTTCCATCGTATATTTAAAATTTTTTTTGTTTTGAAAATAAAGATGCAATATTACTCTTTATGGTACTAAAAGTTAGCTCTTAAACAATTATTTGCCTTTATAGTAGGTGTTATCCCTTAGAATATAAGTGCAAAGTTGCTACTTATTTTCGATTTTACAAATAGCTAAAACAATTTAATATGGATATAAAATGAAAGGTGTTTTTGAGAATTTAAATCCAGAAATACTTTCCATGAGGGTTGCCACGTTTTTTTGTAACACAATCTTTTATCTTATTAATTTCATCCAGCATATATATGTACAAGATTTGATGAAAATATACCTATTTGTTAATAAAGATGCATCTAACATCTGTAGTTTGCGGAAAACAAACAACAGCGTTGAGCGACCTCTAAATCTGGTTCAAATAAGCTGAAATTTTAGAAGGAACTTGTTTTCCCTCTTATCTTCAAGAATCCGAACGTTCTCAGTCGAAATTTAAAAAAGTTCCAATTTTGAATAACCCTATTGTACAATCATCATTAAAGTAATAAACGTTCCGAATTCGCATTAACAAAATCGGTATAAATAGGGCTTTTATCGGGTCCGTTTTTCGCAAATGCTTTTTTCATCATGCAGGTAGCTTATACTTTTAATTTCAACGAAATCGGTTCATAAATACGACTTTTATAAATAACTCCAATCCCGCGCCGCCTAACGGGTCTATTTTTGGTAAACGTGTTTGGCATCATGCTGGTAGCTTACATTTTGAATTTAAAGGAACTCAGTTCATAAATACCATTTTTATATATAACTCGACTCCAGCGCCACCTAGCGAGTTTTCTGGTAGCCTATAATAGGACCATATATGCAAGGTA